GGGCGGCGCTGGGTCTGGTGCAAGGGGGTGGGGGAAGCATGGACAGCAGAACGTCCACAGATCCAGCAGTCGGCGAAGTCGACGGAAGTCGGGGCGGTCCTTGAGGGTAGTGTGGTAGTGGAGAAGGTGTAGTTCTAGGTACGTTCGGACTTCGTGTGTGACCTCGATCGTATTGGGCATTTCGCCAAACATCAGGATTGCTGTGCGGTGAAGCCAGAGTTGCCTCCATATGATGGCGCGGGCGAAGTGCAGGATCACGAAGGCTTCTTTGTGAAAGCGGCGGTCGTACAGGGGTTGTAGGCAGAGGGTATCCCTGAAGAGCAGTGACTCCCAGTTGAGCGTTCCGAAGAGCGTCGTAAGAGGTGGGAGGTACTGCTGCCAGAGCGAGTGGGCAAACGGGCACATCCAGAGTAGATGTGGGGCCGTCTCCGGGGCAGAGCAGCCATGGACACAGTTGGTGGATTCGCGGCGCCATGCGTACATGTAGAGAAAGCTGAGCGCATTGTGTTGAAGCCGAAACTTGAGACCGGAGAAAGCAGGGAGGAGGTACCTGTCAAGATCAAGCTCGGGCGACCAAACTTTGGACCAGTCTGGTATACGTGGTGCGACTCCGAGGCGGTCTAGAGGAAGCTGTGGAGGGGGGAGAATGAGAGTGCGAATGGTAGCGGTGGAGGCTTGATCGATGGAGACGGCACCGAACATCCATGCGAGGTGGACGGCTAGAACGACGGGAGGAGGGAGGGGACCACACGGAGGTAGTCGGAGGGGGGCCAGGAGTGGAGTCAGCGGGAGACTGAGTGCCGTGCCCTTTTGACAACGAGGTGGGAGGGCAGGGTTCAGTGCAGAAGTTCGCTGAGTTGGTGATCGTATGGCAGGTCGAGTCCGCGGTGAAGGAAGTCGGGGGGCAGTGGAGGTATGGACGAAGATGTGGTGGCTGTTAGAACTGACTTGGTGGAGACGTCGGGTGGAGGAGCCTGTGGTTGGGAAGATCCAGATGGGGGCGTGGCGGCGTCAAGGAGGGGGAGAGAGCGGAGGGGTGGCAGGGATACTGTGAGGGACCACGTGCAGAGGAGATAAGGGCCAAGGACGAGGCCATAGTTGCTGGATCCGTAGCGCAGGCCTTGGCGGTGGGAGGCGTGGAGTATCTAGAACCCTACGCCACGGCCTTGGAGGGCGATCGTGAACATGGACATGGCAGGGGCAAGCCATGTGGGCAGTAGGCACGGGTGGTTTCGGATGTGGCGTAGGCCCGAGAGGAAGATGCCGAGTTGCAAAACCTGTGATGTAGTTGCGAGGTCTGGGATGCCGGGCCGGAACGGTGTGCCAGGAGGCCGATAACTTACCTCGGGAGGGGTGGTCGGTAGGTTCGGGACGAAGGGAGCCTTTGACGAAGTCAGTGATGGACGGGAGGAAGGGGGCTAAGGTGGCGGGTGTGGTCGGGGTCATCTCCGTCGTGTACCACAGAAGGGGGAGGATAATCGAGCGGAGCAGGACGACTTTACCCCGGAGTGTGCGTGTACGGTATCGCCAAAGGAGGCAGCGTTGATGGATGGCTGGGAGAAGAAGGGTGAGGCGGTGGTCGGTGGATCCCCCGGGTTTGAAGTAGATACCGAGGAGCTTGCAGGATTGATTGTCTTGGATGAGACGGACGCCCGATGGTTGGAGGAGAGGTGTAAGACGAGCCGATTGACCGGTAGCGAAGGATAAGATTGCTGTTTTGGAGAGGTTGAGACGCATACCGGTGGCTTGGCAGAAGTCGGAGACCAGGCCGAGGAACTTTAGGTGGAGGCAAGGTCAGGAAGGATACCAGTGCAGTCGTCGGCGAAGGAGAGAACTCGATGGGGGACGGAGTCGGTGTGTAGTGCGGGCATCGTGGCGCGGATGTGGCAAGGAGCGGTTCGATGAAAAGCAGGAACAAGGCCGGGTAAAGGGGGTCGCCTTGACGGACACCGGCACCGAGAGCGAAGGGTTGAAGAGATTTACCGTTGAAGAGGGTATACCAACGTGCCCTTGTAGAAGCAACGGATCCAATCACGGAAGTTGGGGCCCACATACCCCGAGGATGCTGTCGAGGACGATCCAATCGACACTGTCGAAAGCCTTAGCAAAATCAAGCATAACGAGGCCGGCGCAGTCCTGGCGTGTGTGGAGACAGTGTTGTTGGAAGCTCTGGACCCGGAAGAGGGCGGTTGGATGCAGCGGCCCGGTAGAAAAACCGTATTGGTCTGAGCCGACGAGTTGAGGAAGGAGGAGATCGAGTCGGTGGGAGAGGATTTTGGGGCCCAGTTTGGCGTCGACATTGAGGAGAGTCAGTGGCCTGTAGTTCGGGGGGTACCACGGTAGCCAGATTTGTGGAGGAGGGAGAGGTGGACGCGACGTTGGAACTTGCTCATGCGGCCTTTGGCGAGTTGGGCGTCGTAGCAGAGGCGAAAGACTTGAGACCAGGCAGACGGAGAGAGGTGGAAGTAATCAATGGGAAGGCCATCAGGGCCTGTGCTCGTGCTTTGGCAGTATGTGTAATCGCATCATAGAAGTCCCACGCAGTGAAGGGGGCGTCGAGCGCTTGACGTGAGGAGGGGGTCAGGGAGAAGGAGGTTGATTGGAGAAGACGAGTGAGGAGGGTGTCGTCTGTTGGGATGTAGGGCTGGATGTCGCGAGAGGGGCTGCGGAAAATGTTGGCCCAGTAGGAACGGAAACCCTGAGAGACAACGGCGTGTTCCCCGGCGGAGTGAACGGGAATTGTGGTGGGGTATGCTGAGGTGGAGGGAGGGTGAAAGAACTCCCGGGAGCAGCGTTCGTCGTGAGTTAGGGCGTCATCGAAGCGGGCGGCCTTGGCCTGGGCGCGGAGGTGGTCGTAGTAGGAGTCGTACTCGGTTTCGGCGGCCTGAGCCGCGGTCAAGTTGGTCGCAGTTGGGTGACTATGGGCGGGGCGACTGGTAGCGGAGGGCAGGTCGGCGAGTTTCCTGCTTGTGGCATTGCGTCGTGTGGCGAATTTGGTGCGGAGGTATATCGCGTCGGACCGTTTGTGCTCATCGAGGAGGCAACCCGGGTTAGAGTTGGGGTGGGTATGCGCAGTTGCGAGGCAAGTCATGAGGGTAGACAGGGTCTTCTGATGGTGTTTTTGTATGTCGGCGCAGCGGAGGAGCAAGAGGGGACAGCGCCATGGGGTGCGGTGTTCGCGGGAAGACCATGTGCGTGTGTTAAAGGTGAATAGGACGGGCACGTGGTCGGACAGATGCCATTTCATGCCGACAGCGTGGGAGGCGCGGTGGAGGTGGTTTGTCGCCAGGGACGGGGAAGTGAGGAGCATGTCAATCCTCCTATGCCCGTGGGGCCCTGTGAATTCTTCTTTGCCCGGGTGGGTAAGGCTCCATGGGTCAACGAGATGGAGCCGAGACATCCAGTCTTGAAGCGCAAGGGTCGCGTGGAGGGGCGGACTCGGAGTACCGTCCAGGGGGCCAAGTGTTGTGTTGAAGTCACCGTAGACAATGTGGAGCGCGTCAGACGGGAAGTGGGAGAGGAAGATGAAGTACCACAGCGGCACCACCTGGGCCTCATAGTGTAATTGGATGGCGGCCGGGTAGTCGACGTGCGGGAGATGGCGTTGGAGGAGGCGCTAAAGGGCGTGGCCTGGGAGTTTGCCTTCCACGGTCTCGAAGTTGGTTGGTTCGTGGGCGTCGAAGAGAGATGACAAGAATCCAGGGTGCGCTTGCACCAGTGCAAGGGAGCGCGTGGGGTCGTCCATGGATGCGTAATCTTGCAAGAAGGCCGCGATGAAGGAACTTACCGTCGTGGACTCCACATCTGTGTTCAGCGAGGGGAGGTCATGATCGGGGAGCGAAATGCTGGATGTGTCGAGAGGGAGGGAAGGTATGAGGCCAGGCGTCGCACTGACCGTGATGTTGAGGAGGGGCGGGATGCCCTCAGCATGCGGCGGGCAGGACAGAACCGAGTACATGTTGTATCCAGGCGGAAAGGAGAATTCCAGTGCCCCAGGAGCCTGGGAGAGGGTGGCGTCGACTGCGATAGCACCACTCAATGGCGCGGGGTAGTTGGCTATGACTGCCCGGCGGGAATGACTGGTACGCTGCCTCATGGGACCTACCGGAGGGTTACGGAGGGGGGCTATGGAGGTCGTGGTGGGCGCACCGAGGAGAGACGGTCGAACGACTGGGGTGGGGCAAAGGGCCGGGGAAGCAGTACTGGGGGGAGGCGAGGGGTCCATCTAGTCTTCGGCGGCCGGTGTGTAGTCAGAGTCGTCAGGATCCGAGGCGTCGTCGTCAAGTGCGGTGTGGTATTCGACCGTCTCGACGGACGGTTGGTTCGGTAGGGGAGTGGTGGGGCCCATCGCCTCACGACTGGACGATGGGGGTTGCGGCGGGTCACGAGCGACTGAGCGTTCCGGAGCCGGGCCAGGGGGGGTATCGGTGGACGGGCCTGGCGAAGAAGCGGGGGCAGGGGGGATGGCGCGGCCCTTGCGTGCGCTGGATCAGCGACGGTGGTGTAACGCAGTTGAACTTAGAGAGTTTGTGTGTGATGATGCACACATGACTCCAGACGGTGATTTCGCGGATTGGGTCATCGGGGCCAAGAAGGAGGCAGGCCGGGACACGTTGAGAGCTGAAGTACACTGTGATATGGCGGGAGTGGATGGCATTCTTGGATAAGGAGGACTGGAGGAGTACTGGTTGGTCACCGTGGAGCATGAAGTACTCCCAAATGTCGGATGGGGACGTGTCGTCGGTAAGTAGCACATCCACCCAGTATAGATGGTCGCGGTCCGTGCAGGTAAAACCAATGCCGACATTCTTTATGCGTTTAAAGTTGCGACAGTGGGGCTTGGCATCGATCCAGGCGTTCGGTTGGTAGCCAGCTGCTAGGCAGTCCAGCAGGATTTGGAGGGGGAAGGTCGCGGCTGCCGATTTGCACGAGATGAGCATTGGGTACTCGTCTTGCACAGGCGTGGGGAGGCCTTTCATGGCTGCGAAGCGTTGGTCCATGGGGCTGGCGTCCGTGTCATGGAAGACAGCCATAGCTACGGCAAATTCCGCTTCGGTTGGGCGACTGCATTCAGGTCGAGGGTTGGAGGCATACCAGGAGCTACGCCAGGCCTTGTCCTCGACGGGGGCGTCCTTCGGGGTTGCCTGGTCAGGGCGGGTCGGATGAGGGCCTCCTCGGGAGGGGGGGGGCGTCACGGCGATGGGGAGGGCCGTAGGTGCCGAATCTTTGCGCCCACAGCGGGATGGGCCATGGGAAGACAGGGGGGGGTGTTGAGGTGGAACGACCGCAATGGAGGGGGGTGACGTGGGGTGAGGGTTGGCGGCCTGCAGCGGGATAGGGGTGTAAACTGGGATGGGAGGGCGCGACATCCGAAGGGGGGGGTGCGTCGGGGAGGGAGGGGAGGGGAAGGGGGGCACGAGGGGGGAGGGGGAGTGGTACTGGGGAGGGGAAACCTCGGAAGAGTGGGACGACGCACCAGCCTGTCCAGAGGAAGAGTGGGACGAAGAGTGGGACGAGTGTCCCTCGGAGAGCGATGGAATGGGTGCGAACACTGTCATTGAGCAGTGGGCCTGTGCACGAGGGAGCAAATTGACAAAGTAGCGTTTGATTCCGGAGAAAGATATACATTACACTTAAGTATGTGACCTTTCAAAATGCTATGCAAAAGAGGAGGATGCAGTAGTGGCCGTGAGCTTATTGTTGGTGGGCGTCGTCAGCACGGTTACGGCCTTGGGCGCCGAGTTTGCGGTTAGCAGTCTGGCGTTCCCGACGCTTACGTTTGTTGGCGTTGGGAGCAGGGAGGACTGTAGGGGTGCCCGTGGTAGCGCCAGGGGGGTTGCTGGGGTCGCCTTTGCGAGCAAGATGGCGGATGCAACGGATCTTGAGATCGGGGGGGATTTCCGTGAGCGGAATTTCTCCGGCTGAGTCAAATAGGGTGACCATGCCGAAGAATTTGTGGACGATCCAGCAGTGCGCATCGCTCCACGTCATCGTGGTGAGCAGGTAGACGCCGTTGACCAGCGGTACCATGCAGTTGGCGAGATCGACAAGGCTGTTGCCCGTTAGATGGAGGGCAATGCGCTTGTTGAGAGTTGCTTCGCACACGTTGAGTCCACGCGACATGGCCAGGCGGAGGAAATCCCGGAGAAGGGATGAGGGAACTCCACGGTGCATGGCAGCGTTGTGTTCGATGAGAAATGCTGTTAAGTCGGCGTCGGAGAGGTCGAGCGACATGTTGAGAAGCTTGGCGGCTCGGTGAAGGGCCACCGGCAGACAGTGTCGTTGAGGGTCGGCACCAAGGGAGGCCCAGGTGGGGTCGCGGGTGCAGAAAGTGGCGAACGTAGGGAGCGGGTGGGGCACAGGCGGAACGGCGTCGGGGTTTTGTTCGCGCTCTGTCGCGAAGGCATCGATGGCGTCGTTGTTGGCGGTGTCGATGGCCTCCCGCATGGCACAGAAGCGTTGGAAGAGGCCAAGCGCTTCTGGGCAGTGCGAGGCGTGGGCGGCTGTGATCCAAGTCGTCGCTGGGCCGCCTTTCAAGTGAGGGCGGCCCCAGCGCACGTGGTATCGAGTGTCCGGCTCGTCCACCCCTTCGACGACAACGTGACGGACGTCGTCGATGAACAGCACCTCGAGGGCATGCGGTTCGTCGGGTGAACCCTCGAGGATCATGTCGGTGGGGTGGGATGGCATGCCGGGGGTGACTTCCTTGAAGGTCGAGGGGTCCAACGTGTCGAGAATATCTTTCGACAGGGTGACACGAAGGGGAGGGAAAGAGCTGGAAGGGACCCGAGGGTGGCGGAGTGCGTAGGGTGTTCCGGAAGGGGGGGTTGTTGGCGGTGATGCGGCGTTGTCGTCGTCGTCGTCCGTGGAGCTGAGGCCCGTGGGGGTCGGGTTTGCACGGTGGTCGGTGGACGGATGGTCGTTCTCATCGTCGTCGTCCGATGTGGTGAGACCCGTGTGGGATGGGGCAGCGCGTGTGTCCGCGCTCGGGCGGGCGTCGTCGTTGGCTGCCGATGCGCTGGTGTCCGACGGGGCAGAGGCAGCAGGATTGCCCTCCGATGGCTGGGAGACATCGGAGTGCAAATCATCGCCGTTGCGCACCGCAGGGACGCATTGGTCGGCAGAGGCGGTGGGGATAGTCGGCGTGTCGACGGCAGGAAGGGACATTTGAGGCGTGTGAGGCTTGTGGGGTACTCGGCAAATTGCGGAATGACATTTCGGCAAAAGGACGTTGGTGGTGTGTGTGACAGTTGCTACCAGGCCCGTCCCCCCCCAAAAGAAATTTCCCTGGCAACACCTGCAGGGTCCTCATATTCGTTGATAACGAGGCATGTGCAGTACCGTCGCCTGGGATCGAACCCGGGACCTTCCGCATACGAAGCGGACGCTCTACCATCTGAGCTAACGAGGCC